CAAGGTTGGTCATTATGAACTGTCATAATAGAACCGTCACTTCATGACTGATACAACCGCAGGAAAACCCTAAAAAGCACTAAAAAACTACAGAACCAATCAAGGTAAGCCACGTGTCTTGGGCATTAAATGGACGTGACGTACGTCACATCGATTCTGAAAAAGGCATTATGATACTCGAAAAATGGCGGCAAAGAATTCCCTCTATAAATACTTACCACTTCCCGAATATTCAGTTGAGAATATTCAGAAAGTGGGGGGACTATCTGTATTGGTGGAAAAAAGGCATGACACGTGGACTATCATCAAGGTGATAAGGTATGATACGTGGACCATCAATAAAGTGACAAGTGGCATTGAGTTAAAGAATTCAAGAAGGCACGGGAGAAACACCCACGGAATTTCTTTAGGAAAGGAACCAGCTCTGGCAGCTGGGAAAAAAAAATAGGAGTGGAATGTATAAAGCCCATTAAATAAGGAAGGTGCACGAATCTGTCATAAATAAGGAAGGAAAATCGACATTAATCGTGGTTACGAGAAATCCTCAATCATAAACGCTTATGTTATAATTATATAACGAAACGAGTAATCAAGGCAATTAATGCCATTAAAGAGCCTGAAATAAGTATGGAAACCGTTATAATTGTGTACTCCTATATAAGGATTTAGTCCTCATTTGTAATGGCATCCGATTTTTATTAAAATATATGCAATCATTCTTTACTTTATTCATAAGGTTCTAACCGCAATTCTGGGAATGATTATCAATTTTTCTTTCTTTTTCAGTTATTTCCATTATTTGTTTTATTCTTCAAATTATTGGGAAAGTGAAGTAAATTTTGATTATCGGTAACCCGATTTCTTCTTGATATTGACTTTGACCGAGAAATCTATTTTTGGGTTAAACATCTAGGTATAAAATTTTTACGTATTTTATCTTTAAAATACATGGTATATTTTATTTATTTGATTGCGTTTAGGTATAAAAATTTTATGTACTTTGTCTTCAAATATGTGGTATATTATATTTATTTAATTGTGCTTGGTATAAAAATAGTATGTACGTTCTCCTCAACTTAGTTAACATTTACTTATGTTAGGTATAAAATGGTATATATGCAGTTTGTTAATAAGTTCTTTGGAGCCTGGTCTCTCAACTTGATTTACTTTTGAATAGCAAAAAAGTTTATTGAAGGCACTTTTTTTACGGCCTGGATTTGGTAGCAATTATGAAGCAGAGTTTATTTATAAAACCTTTTCCACATATGTTGAAAGAATGAAGAGAAACCCTAAAGAGAGAAGGTGAGAAACGGACTTGATAGAGAATTAAGGATGAGAGAGAAATTAAAAGACGATTTTTCAGTCGTTATTTAAAGAAGATAGAGAAAAGATGAAATTTTTCACTTAATACATATCCCTTAATAAATGGGATACAGACGTTACAATTTACAATTATGATTGCTATGTTAATAAACTTAGCTCAAAGTAACAACATAAAACAAGGAAAAATAAGAGATATAGAGAGAAAGAAAGGAGAGATTCTTATTTCTTCCATGTATTCAAGTGTCTACAATGTGATATTCAAGTGTCTACAATGTGATGCCCAAACCCTCCATTTATAGGATGATATTTAGGTAATACAAAGGGATACCGTGTACATGGTATTAACTATTGAGATCATGGGGGAAGATCATGGAGGTGTTAGAGTTACAACCATAATGGTAAGAAGTAATAGGAGGTTAATGGAGAAGAGTAGTGGGTGTTACTTCCTTAGGAGTTATGGACATCCACCATAATCAAGTATTCTATAACACTCCCCCTTGGATGTCCAAATATAATGTGCCTTGTTAAAACCTTACTAGGAAAAAATCCTAGTGAAGGAAAAAGAATACACATATCTTGTAATACGCATTGTTTGTTGCCTCGTCAAAAATCTTGCCAAAAAAATCCAGTGGGATAAAACCTTAGCTAAGGGAAAAAGAGTGTAGTGCGTGCTATACTCCCCCTGACAAAACTATCACTTGATATCTTGGAGATGATGAATTTCAATCTTATATAACAACTTCTCAATTGCTGAGGTCGGCAATGCCTTGTGAAGAAGTTTGCCAAATTATCACTTGAACAAATTTGTTGAATATCAATCATGTATGAAATAGAACTTTGGTAAAATATACTTTATTTTGTCTCCTTCGATAGTCCTTCTTTCAATTGAGCTATGCATGTAGTATCGTCTTCAATATAATTGGAATCTTGTTGAATATCATAATATAGCAGTACCCTCACAGACAGATAGATTATTTGAACAACGAACTATGCCCTGCATTTGTATAACCAACAAAACCTTGACAATATTTGTTATAATAAACATATCTATATTAAGGATTCCTTTTGCAATATAACACTAATCGTATTTCAATATCTCCACATAGGAGTAAAATTTTATCTCGCTAGCATATTGTTATACTCATCGTTATAGCAAGATACATTAGTGTGCCTATTGCACTAGACATAAAAACAAATCATGTTCGTCATGATTGCTCTAATCCACATATGATTTGCTGAAACTTTATTTAATAAATTTCTTGGGAACCTTAATATGCTTCAGAACAGTTTAAATCCTTCAATGATTTTTATATAAGCATATCAAATTTTCAGGTATTTCCAGACTAAAATCTGAAAGCAACTGCATCCACCACAAGAGAACATGTTCCCATATAATCAATGATAGAACATTTACGAAACCTCTTGTGACACCCCATTGCTTTATACTTTCAGGTGTAAGAACTATCAATCCAAAACTTCATATTTTCCAAGTGAAGTCAATTTTGGTTGCGTCTTTTTCATTGACCAGTTATTTATCTGTCCATATTTGATGACAAATTTGAGCTCAAGATCCTCGTCAATATTTATAAAATTGAGCGCTACATTATATCAATAATATTGTCGACGATCATTTTAAATCGGTTCCATCATCACTCAAGAAAGACATAACTTATCGAGATCTCATTATTTTCAGATATCTGAGCCTCTCCCATGAGGTCTTATAAAGAGTTATGTCATGGTGCTCTTATAAAGTACTTGCCTCCTTATTATGACCATCTTGAATATTTGCTCATCTTCTTTTTCAAGGAGTTTTATAATTGGAACTGATTAGTCTATTACGCTTCATGCGTACCATAAAACTCTGTCCATCATGGACTTTATTCTATTTGGAGCATTAGCAGCTGAAATATAACATTTAGCTTTGGATCAGCAAATGTGCCTGGCAATATTTTGCAAATGAATTATCACTTGAACTTCAAGTTCACATTTTCTTGTACAAGGATCTCGATGTACTCATAATAATTTATTCCATGAATTACTTTTCAGCTACTCATTTTCTCCCCCTAATGTTGGGATCACCAACACATATCTCGAACTTTCTTTGGGGATCCATCTTTGTGCATTGTGGTAGAATAATTAAATCATATAGCACATTCATATTTCTATATGGAAGTTATTTGGTCCTTGACCCTGAACCAATTGTAATAATAAGAATTTATCATAACTTGTTGGCTAGATGCGTACAAGTGCTGCTATATATTAAATAATACACCTCATACAAAATTTCTATTTGGGAGTTTTGTTCTTGTAATGACCCGACTGGTCGTTTTAAATATTATAACCCCATTTCCCCATTTACTGCTCAATTTATGCTTTACAGTTGATTTATGACTTATCGGGTTAGTTAATTCGGTTCGGAAGGAATTCGAAGTGAAATGAGACACTTAGTCAATCGGACCGGGGGGTTGACTTTTTGATATCGGGGTCGAAATTTGATTCTGAAAATTTGAATAGGTCCGTTATGTCATTTATGACTTGCATGCAAAATTTGATGTCAATCGGACGTGATTTGATAGGTTTCGGAATCGTTTGTAGAAATTGGAAATTTCAGAGTTCATTAGGCTTGAATTGGGGTGTAATTCATGGTTTTAGCGTTGTTTGAGGTGATTTGAGGGTTTAACTAAGTTCGTATGACATTTTAGAACTTGCTGGTATATTTGGTTGAGGTCCCGAGGGGCTCGGGTGAGTTTTGGATGGTTAACGGATCGAAACTTGGACTTAAACAGCTGTTGGAATTTTCTGATATCTGCATCTGATTTCCTTATACGCGATCGCGTGAATGCGTCTGCGATTGCGTAGGCTTAGTTGGTCAGTGGAGGTTTTTGTTCTACGCGATCGCGTGGGTATATCTGCGATCGTGTAGGGTTAATTTGAGGCAGTGATATTTTGTGCTTCGCGATCGCGTGAAGAGGGATGCGATCTTGTAGATATGTGAGTTTGTTATTCGTGAACGCGTGAATAAGGTCGCATTCGCATAGAGGAAATGGGCAGAAATGGAAATCAAGCGTTTAAGCTTCGCGATCGCGTGGTTAGGTCTGTGATCGCGTAGGTCTTTGATGTTGTGCATCGCGATCGCAAGGGAAAGCATGCAATCGCATAGAGTTAAATCTGGGCTGTGGAAAACTGTTCTTCGCGATCGCATGGGAATGTTTGCGATCGCGTAGAGCAAATGTCTGGGCAGAGAGTTTAAGTTCTGAAAATGGGACTTCGTCCCATTTTTCATTTTTGACGGATTGGAGCTCGGGAAGAGGCGACTTTTGGGAGATTTTCAGAGGAAACAATGGGGTAAGTGTTCTTAACTCAATATTGGTTAAATTACCCGAATCCATGATCGTTTTTAACATTTAATCGGTTAATTAAGTTGGAAAATTGTGAAAACCCTCTTGGTTTAATTTGGAGATTTGAGGGTCGAATTGATGTCGGATTTGAGTAAAATTTGTATGGTTGGACTCGTGATTGAATGGACGTTCATATTTTGTAACTTTTATCGGGTTCCGAGATGTGGGACCCACAGGCGATTTTCGAGCTAATTTTTGGATTTTTATTGCAAATTAGTATTTTCTTATGGAATTAATTCCAACAAATTTTATTGACTGAATCGAATTATTTGTGGCTAGATTCGAGGCATTTGGAGGCCAACTCACGAGGAAAAGACATTGCAGAATAAAGAATTTCACCGGTTGAGGTAAGTAACAGTTTTAAATTTGGTTCTGAGGGCATGAAAATCCGGATTATGTGTTATGTGAGTGGTTTTGAGGTGACGCACATGCTAGGTAACGGGCGTGTGAGCGTGCACCGTAGGAATTGTGACTTGGTCAAATTCCTTGGAACTGTGTAGTGGAATTATCTGTTGATATCCGTACATTCTCTACGTGATACGGAAAAATTGAGTTGAGACTCGTATTAAAAATCATGTTTAGACATATGTTGTTGTTATTGGTACCCACTGGGGTCATTTTTGTGGTTGAATAATATGTTCAAATTGTAATTTTTCACTCAGTCATGTTTATTCATTTTATATCATACCTCAGTCTCTCTTATTATTATTGATGCATCATATCACTATTTTTGGGCTGCTTATCATGATTTCTTAGAGCCCAAGAGACTTGAAAGGTTGATGATTGAGTGAGGCCGAGGGCCTAATTGTGAGGATATTTATGGATCAGGTTGTGCGCCGTAACATGTTTATTTATTTATGCCATGATTGGCTTGATATAGCGTTAGGGCTAAAGGAGCCCCTCCGGAGTCTATACACACCCCCAGTAAGCATAGGTACCTACTGAGTGCGAGGGTTGAGTGCGAGTGCCGAGTGATGAGTGACTGTGAGGAAAGAGTGACTGTGAGGTTGGAGTGAATGGGGGGACTGGGTGAATGTTACTCTGAGAGGATGCATTGATTTCATTATATCACTATTTTGAAGATTTTGGAAAAAAAATATTATTTTCTGTTTCGGTCAAACTTGATATGAAATTTCAGTAAAATCTTAAATGTTGAACTTGAGAGCATGCCTACTCTTTTATATTGAAAAGTATTGTATTTGGACTTAGCTGAGAAGCTCGTCACTACTTTCAGTTCTTTATTTATTATTGTTACTTACTGAGTTGGTTGTACTCATACTATACCCTGCACTTCGTGTGCGAATCCAGGTGATCGCGGATACAGTGGGTGTTAATTCTTTCGCACAGTTGATTTTTCGGAGATTCAGAGGTAGCTGCTATGTTTCGCAGACCTTGTCTCTCCTTCCCTATCCTTTTGTTATTGTATTTGGTCTCAGATTATTATTAAAAACCAGATTTTTCCCAAACTTGTAATGTATAGATGCTCATGTACTCAGTGACACCAGGTTTTGGGGAGTGTTCATATCCGTATTTGTGGGATTTTGTATTGTATTTAAACATTATGTTTTCAAACTTAAAGAAAATCATGGGTTATTGATGTTGTCGGCTTGCCTAGTACTGAAATAGGCGCCATCACGACAGGTTAGGATTTTTGAGTCGTGACAAGTTGGTATCAGAGCTCTAGGCTTCATAGGTCTCACGAGTCATGAGCAGGTTTAGTAGAGTCTTGTGGATCGGTACAGAGACGTCTGTACTTATCTTCGAGAGGCTGCCTAACCCTTAGGAAAATTTCACTTTCTTGTATTCTGTCGTGCGAATTTGTTGATTCGGAAACTAAATTTCTATTATTCTATTCTCTCACAGATGGTGATGACACGTACTACCGGATCGGATGATCAGCCACCAGTGCCACCATTTAGGGCCGCGAGAGGCTGGGGCCGTGGTAGAGGCCGGGGCCGAGGTAGAGGTCGAGGTATGGCTCATGCAGCGGTTAGAGCAGCACCTGTGGTACCGCCAGTTGCTCCAGCTCAGGCACCAGCTGTGCCCATTGTGATTCCAAGCCTTCAGAAAACTTTGGCCCAGATATTAACAGCTTGCACTGGTCTTCCTCAGGTAATTTCGGCTCAGGCCACACCTGCCACTTCTCAGGCCGGGGGAGGTACTCATACCCCTATTTCCCATACTCCAGACCAGGTAGTACAGGGACTTCAGATACCGGGGGCACTACCAGCCCAGCCGGCTGCAGCTGCTCAGGCCCAGGTATTTCCTGTTATGGCAAAAGATGAGAAGAGGAGACTTGAGAGGTTTGGGAGGCTTCGACCCCCATCATTTAGTGGTGCTGAGTCAGAGGATGCTCAAGGATTTCTGGATAAGTACCAGTGGATGCTATGGACAGCGGGTATTCTAGAGACCAGTGGGGTCTCGTTCACTACTTTTTAATTTTCTGGGGCTTCCTTCAGATATAAGGAGGCTTATGAGAGGCGCAGGCCAGTTGGCGCAGTACCACTTGCATGGCAGGAATTCTTTGTTCTCTTTTTGGAAAAGTTCATGCCGTAGTCTCGTGGAGAGAAGTTGCACAGGCAGTTTGAGTAGTTACGTTAGGATGGCATCTCTGTGACGCAGTACGAGATGAGATTTTCTGAGTTGGCTCGTCACGCAGTTTGGTAGGTTCCCACTGATAGGGAGAGGATTAGGAGGTTCATTGATGGCCTCACATATCAGTTGTGGTTACTTATGACTCGGGAGAGAATATCGGGTGCTACGTTTGATGAGGTAGTTGATATTGCTCGACAGATAGAGATGGTCCGTAGTAAGGAATGTGGAGAGAGGGAGGCCAAGAGGCCTCGTGGACCAGGTGATTTCAGCAGTGTTCCTTTGGGGGGGTCAGTTTTACCGCGGTAGGGGTTGTCCTTACAGACACGCTCAGACGGGTCGTCCAGTTCACTGTGGTGCATCATCTAGCCATGGTTCATACAGTTCTCATCAGGGTCAGCCATCCCTCGGCACCCTTCCAGCCCAGAGTTAGTCTCGTGCCCCTTCAGTTCAGGGTTCATTTACACCGGGTGCTTCTAGCAGTTATCCTAGTTCTCGGGGCCCGATTCAATCTGCACCACCATCAGTACCTGGGAGCTGCTTTGAGTGCGGGGAATTTGGGCATATGTGAAGACAGTATCCTCGTCACTCGGGAGGTCCAGTGCAGCAGAGGAGTCAGACTACGACTTCAGCACCATTTACTTCACCACCTGCCCAGCCAGCTCGGGTGGGGTCAGTCAGCTAGGGGTCGCCCAAGAGGGGGAGGCCGATCAGGGATCGGTCAGGCCCAATTCTATGCTTTTCCTGTTAGTCCAGATGCTATTGCTTCAGATGCAGTGATCACGGGTATTGTTTCAGTGTACCACAAGGAGGCTTCTATATTATTTGACCCTGGTTCCACTTATTCATACATATTATCATATTTTTCTCATTATCTGGATATGCCCTGTGAGTCCTTAGTTTCACCTGTTTGTGTATCTATACCGGTGGGCGGTATTATTAATGTGGATCGTGTGTATTCGGTCGTGTGTGGTAACCATTGGGGAACTGGAGACTAGAGTTGATCTCTTATTACTCGGTATGGTTGATTTCGATGTAATCCAGGGTATGGATTGGTTGTCTCCATGTCATTCTATTCTGGACTGTCACGTAAAAGTCATGACGTTGACGATGCCGGGATTGCCAAAGGTTGAATGGAGAGGTTCTCTAGATTTTGTTCCTAGCAGGGTAATTTCTTATTTGAAGGCCCAACGTATGGTTGGAAAGGGATGTTTATCATATTTGGCCTTTGTGAGAGATGTTGATGTAGATACTCTTATTATTGATTCAGTACCGATCGTGCGAGACTTTCCAGATGTATTTCCTGCAAAACTGTTGGGTATGCCACCCGACAGGGATATTAATTTTGGTATTGACTTGGTGCAGGGAACACAACCCATTTCTATTCCTCTGTATCGTATGGCATTAGCTGAGTTAAAAAAATTGAAAGAGCAACTACATGAACTCCTTCAAAAGAGGTTTATTAGGCCTAGTGTGTCACCTTGGGGTGCACTGGTTCTGTTTGTGAAAAGGAAAGATGGTACTATGCGGATGTGTATCGATTATAGGCAGTTGAACAAAGTTACAATCAAGAATAAATATCCTTTACCGCGTATTGATGACTTATTTGACCAGCTTCAGGGAGAGAGGGTGTTCTCCAAAATTGATTTGAGATCTGGGTATAACCAGTTAAAAATTCGGGATTCAGATATTCTAAAGACGTCATTCAGAACTCGTTATGGTCACTATGAATTTTTTGGGATGTCTTTTGGGCTATACAATGCCCCAGCAGCATTTATGCATTTGATGAATAGTGTATTCTAGCCATATCTTGATTTATTTGTTGTAGTATTTATTGATGATATTCTGGTGTACTCACGTAGCCAGGAGGAGCATGCACAACACTTGGGTATTATATTACAGAGGCTGAGAGAGGAGAGACTTTATGCCAAATTCTCTAAGTGTGAGTGCTGGCTTAGTTCAGTAGCATTTTTGGGACACATAGTGTCTAGTGAAGGGATTAAAGTGGATCCGAAGAAAATAGAGGCAGTTCAGAGTTGGACCAGGCCATCTTCAGTTACTGAGATTCGGAGTTTTTTCGGCTTGGCCGGTTATTATCGTCGCTTCATGGAAGGTTTCTCATTTATTGCATCACATATGACTAAATTGACATAGAAAGGTGCTCCATTCAGGTGGTCGGATGAACGTGAAGAGAGCTTTCAAGATCTTAAGACAGCTATGACTACAGATCTAGTATTGGTGTTGCCTACGGGTTCAGGGTCTTATACTGTTTATTGTAACGTGTCACATATTGGGCTTGGCGCAGCGCTTATGAAAGATGGTAGGATGATTGCCTATGCGTCCAAACAGTTAAAGGTACATGAGAAGAATTACCCGGCCCACGGTCTTGAGTTAGCAGCTATCATTCATGCCTTGAAAATTTGGCGGCATTACTTGTATGGTGTCCAGTGTGAGGTATATACCGATCATCGGAGTCTACAGCATCTGTTCAAATAGAGATCTTAATTTTCGGCAGCGGAGGTGGTTAGAGTTGCTTAAGGATTACGATATCACCATTCTCTATCATCCCCGGAAGGCCAATGTAGTGGCCGATGCCTTGAGTCGTAAGACGGAGAGTTTGGGCATCTTAGAATACTTACCGGTAACAGAGAGGCCTTTAGCCCTGGATGTTCAGGCCTTGGCCAACCAGTTTGTTAGATTGGATATTTCCGAGCCGAA